AATGTAAAGAAATGACAAAATGGAGGTTGAACCCACAAGCTTTGCTTAGTCCACCTATGCATGTGTTTTAAGAGAGTCTGCACTATGACCTCATTATATCATATAAAATGTTAAAAAAAATCATTGTTTTTAAAGAGACATCTTTAGAATTTAAAAGAGGTGACTGTAGCAGTAAAAGATTTCTATTTGTTTGGTTGACTTCATCAGAACTATATATAGAGCACTACAAATCTGCGAATATCAGCTTTATATCTGTGGATGTGGATGAGGCTATCCAAAGCTCATTTCTGCAGATATGGGTACAGACGCGGATACAAATTCTGTACCTAGAAACCTGCAAATTTGTGGATATCTGGCAGGGCTCTAATTATATTAAGCTGTTACATTTAAACTGAACTTTTATTAAACTTACTATGATAAAAGGCTGGAGTTTTAGGTTGATAGGATAATTGTTTTAATGCTCAAGTATCCATAATCCATTGACTTCAGCAGTCAAATGGTTTCATCTGCATAACCATTTGGTTTGAAAGGCACTAGTTTTCAGAAGTGTGTGCTGCTGAGGTGCTTAACTATTCAATAATATTTTGATTGCACAGACAGTTTAAAAATGAAAATCCAAAATGCAAAGGCAACTGTTGCTCAGCTTCTCAGAGAACATTATATTCCATGTCAGAAATGATTTGGTTACTTGATGCCATAACAATCCCTCTTTGGCCTCTGCTCCTTTTATCTAATACTGCCTACAATTTTCAAACCTAAGTGTGGAAAAAATTAATTAACGTATGATGCACAAGGCCTATGCAAAAGTTTCATAATTCACTTCATTTTCTACAATTAAAAAACCCATGCCACTTGCCAACATACCCGTTGCTTGGGGTAACAGGTAGAGCTGGGGTGTTCTAAAGAGATGAAGCAGAAGACGGCATGTCATTCTTGCTCCAGGTTCAGCATCTGGGTCTCCACAGGCTATGAAAAAGGGGACATTGACATAGGAAACCTCTCTCAAAGACCTTAGAAATCACTCACAAAATTTACTGGAAGAGCCACAGAAAGGTTCTGTCTTACAGAATAATATTTCAAATGTAACTAAAGCATTCTATTGTATGGGAGCCAGCATTTGTAGATTTTGGAAGGACTGAGATAAATTAAACAAAATTAATTAGTGGAGGAAAAAGCAAGGGAAGCAGTGATCAAATGGGAGCAGAGACTAAGACATTCTGGAGAGTATTTAAAGCCAAGGAATCAGCACACACCTGAAACAAAGAGAGAGAGAGCCAGAGGTGGGATTCCAAGGATTTTGTGATATGGTCTGATCAGTGGGCAAGGAAGAGAATTGTACCTATTGATCTCTGAATGGACTAGCAGGGAACAAGAGGAGGCCACAAAGAAAGTGATAGCAGTAGTTGGGGCTGGAGCTAATCAAGATACTGATGAGAATGTTAATCTGGGAGGGGAAGGAAGGAAGGGTTAGATGTCCGAAATGTTACGAAGAAAGACCTGACATGATCTGGAAATTATCTGGATTTGTTGTGTGTGTGTGTGAGTGAGTGTGTGTGTGAGTGTGTGTGTGTGAGAGAGAGAGGATTGATAAAAGTATGGTGTTGTCAAAGAAGCAGAATACATTTTATATAACTATTACGCAATCATGTATCAATCACAGATTATTTGATTCACCCTGACAGTAGTACTACTTATGGAATATCTGTTACAAACTTAGAGAAAGCACTCCCTGGCCATCACATTTGCAATAGCATTCTGCAACAGAAAGTGGTTTCAGAATGAGTTGTAAAATTTTGCAATCAACAGAAAGAAAAAGGTTGTTTTTTTTATAAAAAAAAAAACAACTCACAAAGTTTCCTTACCTGCCGCAAGAAGAGAGGGAAGTGCAACATGCTGAACAACATCCTCCAAAGAAAAACATTGCCGGGCTATCAGTATAGCAATGAAAGTGGCCAGTGAATCATGGAATGAAAGGTCACTCACCTTGAAAGGAAAAAAACATGGCATGCTTTCATGTTACAATATGCAAATTTTCATTGATGTGATTAATGACCAAGTTATTTAACTATAAAAAGCAAACTTGGCTTACCAACAAAGTAAAATTATCACAAGCAAATAGATTCTTGCACTCAAAATACTTTCAGTGGCAAACTTCAATTGATTTAAGTTAATTACAGAACGTACTGATTACTTTCCTTCATACGTCAGTTGTAATGAAATGAATGGGAGACAAATTAATTTATAAAAGCTGGAACAATTATTATCTTTAAATAGAAACTGGTGATATACATATTCACTCCTTAGCTGCTAGCACATACCCAGAAAAATCCTGTCCTTTTAACATGAAAGCTGGCCTTTAACATGCATAGTCAAAGAATAAGCAATCCTATAAAGTACTAGAATCAGTTATTAGAACAAGCCAGATCCTCCACAGATAGAAACTCATAACCCCACTGGCTTCAGTGGAGCTCTGAGAATTTACAGCAGATGAGTTAGGATCAATTAAGGCTATTTAAGAGTGAGTCTATTCAATCCACAGAAATAGCAATTGTGAGGCAAGAGATGCATATAGGTATCACCCTGTGTCTGTCACATGAGGTACCTCCCCTAACTTATAGCACTACAGTAGTGCAATGAAGAAAAAAATGTATTAGAGTAAAAACACAAGTCAATACGTAGCCTATATTTTATTTTAAATGAAACCATGAAAATATGGAAAACAGAATTCAGGAGTTTCAGAAGATGCTTTGAAAATATAAATAGATACAGTTCTAAAACCATGTTCAGCAATGGATAGAGGCAACTTAAGATAGATGTATTAAACTGGTATTTCTATTTCAAAATACATTCAACTTACATCCACACTGCAAAGCAGATCATTAAAACCCCAGACATGATTTGAAGAACAGCAAAGTGCCTTTAGAACCCCTAACCATTCTGAACTTAGCACCGTGCAGCAGGCTGTCAACTCTGCGCAAAGGTTAGCTATATCATTAATTCTAGAAGACAAGAGAAAACAAGTTAAGAGAAGAAAAATACTCATTAGCAATAAATAATTTGGAGATAGATAAGAGTTTATGTCTAGACTAAGCATGTAAGAGTGTAGTCAATTAACTGATTAACCGATTATCAAAAGCTTATAGGTTAATGCTATAGACTACATGCATTTCTCCCACCTCCAAAGTGAATATTTTAGCAGGCTGGCCAGCAACCTAGCTCAGTCCTGGCTTGCAATAAGTCCAGGACCTACCCCTGCTGAGGCTCTGCATTTAATGTGTATTAGGAGCTAGGCCGACAGACAGCCCAGTTCAGTTCTGGCTCATGCTGGGTCCAGGAGCACAGACCCCACCCTGTCAAAGACAGGGGCTGCTGCCATCCCGCGCTATTGCCTCTATATCTGACGCTATGTCTAGACTTCACAGATCTATCAGAAAAGGGTATGCAAATTGTGCTCCACAATTTGTGTATCATTTTCCCAATAGCTTTTTCAGAAGATGCTTTTCTGAAATCTGGCTGCTCTTTTTTTTTTTTTTTTTTTTTTGCAGAAGAGCAGACGTGTTCCCTGGACGTGGCGGAGTTTTTCCAGAAAAACCTCATAGTGTAGACATAGCCAGAGGCAGCAGGATAAGGTGACAGGCATGAAAGGAGCCGGTTTTTAAACTGATTCCCCTCAGACTGGCTCCCACCTGACTCCCCCCTGGCACTGCTGCCTCTGATACTGCCAGCCCCACCGCCGGGTACTTCAGAATAGTCGACTAACCGATAAGAATTCATGAGGTTACTCGACTATTCAATTAACCAATATTTAACATCCCTAGTCTAGACCTGGGTTTTTTCAAAGAGGTATGCAGATCAGTTCTGAGAAACCCACTAACTGGCCACTCCAACATGTTCATTTACTGCTTCCCACGGCTGCCCTTGGCTGCAAATGGTGTACCGCAGACAACAGGAGCCATGAAACTCCATGGCTGCGGAGCCGGTAAACAAACACACCAGGAGTAGCCAGTTAGCTGGTTTCTCAGAGTGGATCTGTGGACCACTTTGAGAAACACTGGTCTTGACCTATATTTCAGAGTTTATCTAGGGTTCTCCAGTTGTGGACACCTATTTTTGCTAACTAGAACATTCGGTACATGATGCTCCCAGTGACTGACATGGATCCAACATGCTGTTGCACAAAGCACTGCATTCTGTAAAGATCCTCCTGTGGCAGAATCTGCTCGTGTCCACATTCTACACACTGCTGTAATAATCTTGGTTCAAATTAAGACCTCTAAAGCTATCATTTGAAAACTTATAATTTGCTGGTCAATATTGTCCTGATAAAATATGTGCGGCTACATTGTATGTGAAGTTACAATATTCTAGTGAAGGGCCACATTGATTGGTTAAGAGATAAAAAAAAATTCCTTTTTCCCTTCCAGAGGGAAATTTCCCTGTTAACCTCAGTATGCTCCTTCTCATTGACTTACTCTTTTTCAGCTACTCCACATTGCAATATTCCCTCAGTTGCCTGGGGTATGTAGAGTAAAATGACAAAATATCAATATGCTCTTTCAGGAGGAAGAGAAGGAATAATCTACTGTATGAGGGTCACTCAGAAATTAGACAAAGGTCAGAATTAAATCTCAATAACCTTGAGCATGGAAAAGTTTGTCATTTACTGCTTCCCATGGCTGCCCTTGAATTCTGCCCTGAATTCTTAATTAAGTCTTAATAGGAACAAAACTAATACTCCATCTCTCTCAACTATTTTGATTTTGAGGGAACTGGAGTTAAAATCCAGATGTAAAACTGAGATGTAAAACTCATCACTACCTGCATGTAGGTAGGGTTTGCAGAATGGGAAATTAAGAAAACTAAGTCCCACAAAGAAACAGAAGGCAATTTTTTGACAGAAGGAATAGTTTTAACATTTGATAAAGATCCTAAGAAAATGTTTAACATTGTTAAAGATCTCCCAAAAAAAAAAGTAATGGTGAGAAGAAAAGAACTAATCTTTTTGAGAATGATGATCTCTAAAGAAAGTCCAGACACTGTCAAGACCATACCAAAATGCAAGGCCCAAAAAGACAATTAATGTTTGTTATAAAGGACAATAGTAAAGAGAAGTATAATATAGATGGTTTTTCTGTTCTCTCGTCTCAGAAAGGGTATTCTTGATTCAAAGTGAAAATCTTTGGATCAAATTTTAGGTGTCCAAGGATAATTTTTATGAGATGGGGGAAAAACAATGTTTTGTCCCACAGAATCTAATACTTTTGGCAACTCTTCTTCCTTCAATAAAATTGGGGTTTAGTCTGTCTTTTGTAGATGCTGAAATGTTCACTGTAAAAGTTATCTTTCAATAGCAGTCCTAAACTGGAGGATCCCAGATTACATAGAGGAAGACCTCAGGAGAATGAAAAAGTTGCATAGTATTGGATCTGCTCTTCCAACACAAGAACACATCTATGGCTATAGGCAGTACAGAGAAGGTTCTCTGAAAGTCACGTGCCTTCCTTTCTCACGTTGATACCTATGACAACTAAACAATGAAAAAGGTAGAGAAGCCATGTCTACATTACAAATTGAGGTGTGATTCTCCTGCTTGCATATGTACATTTGGGCTAGCTCTTAGTGAGGTAGCCTAATTATAAATAGTAGGGTGGCCGCAGGATAATGCCTTTCTGTTTCAGGAAGGCTTGCACTCCGCCTGGCTGAGACATGCTTCTGTTGCTGCTGCCAGTACTGCTGCAACCAGTATACACACATTAGTGGTATGTGAGCAAACATGAGTATGTGTAGGCAAGCAGGAGAAAAATCACACAACTGCTCATAATGCAGTATAGCGAGCGAGCGAGAGAGAGAAAGAAAGAAAAACAACAGAGGTAGAAACAAAGAGGGAAGAGAGAAACAGGACAAAGAAAAAAAATGGTGGCAAAGTGCCAGGAGAGAAACGAAAAAAGTTTGCTATAATTAACCAACCAGCCTATGCAAGGATGCTTCATCAGAAAAGGCTAGGAGCCTCTGGCATAGTCCCTTAAGACCTCTCTTTAAGACCTAGTCATTATCTTGAAAGAATGAACTGACAGGAATGTTAGTCTATTTTCTTCTCTGCTGTTGTAAGTACTTTCCATTTAGAGCCCAGATACCATGGACCAATAGGAACATAAGAAAAGTCAGACAGGTTCAGTCCCAGGCTCCATCTAGTCTAGTATCCCGTCTCAACATCCACCGGCACTAGATGCTTCAGAGAAAGGTACATAAAGCCCCATAATGGACAGCTGTGGGATCTCATGTAGGTCTCACCTACATCCTTAATAAGAAGAAAAATGGTTTAAAACCCAAAGCAGGAGATTTTATTTCCCCTCCAAAACTTTTCTTTAATGAATTAGCTATAACAAACCTGGATGTCCATTTAAATGTTCAATCCCTCTTTTAAACTAAGTACTTGGCCTCAACAATATCCTGTGGCTAGGAGTTCCATAAATTAATTAATTAATATAATAAAATAATATATTTCATCTGGAGAAAGGAATTGATCAGTACCCAACACTCCTTGAAAATGAGGATACTGTCAGGATGTGATGATAATTTTGCTGAGAGAGCAATCCAGTGTCAGAATCCTGAGAAATGGAGAAAAGCATAACAAGTCTCCTCTTGCTAGGAAGCTAATAATTGTACCTTGTGTCTTACAAAACTTTTCTTGTAATTTTACATATAGGCTGCTATTTATATTATTTGGTGATGCAAAGAAGCCTACACCTATTATTAATCCTCGTAATGTTATGCAAACCAGTCTGATGCAGTCTTGGTGAAACCTATTCTAAAGAATTGTACAACTCTGAATCGGGAAAAAAACAACCCAGGAAATCTGTCAATGAAGATAAACCAAAAGAATACAAAGGGAGAGGAAAAAAGGGGAAGGAAGGACAACATGCACATAAACAGCCCCAATTAGTTCTAATAATATCCCAGATACTTCATTTCACTGAAGCACTAACCCTTATTTCAATTACTTCTATAGTTCTATATCTGAATCAATTTCTCTTACCTTAGTGCATCTTGGTGCCCCATACATACATTCATGAGTGCATTACAAACAAAGCTGTAGCGATTGGCTGCATTGTCACTCAGGATCTTGCCTAGTATCGAGTAGTTGATGCTATGAGCAGAGGGATTCTCGATAAAATCCAACATGAACTCGGGATCCCATAACAAGTTGGAGTTTGAGGGCTGTACATTGCTGTATATGGTTTGCTTTACCTTTGAACAAGCACTACTAAGGGTTAAAAACAGGAGAGAAAAAAACATTGCTCACATGGCTTGAATTGTTGAAATATTGATACAGATTAAAACAAGATTGCCACTAAGTATTACTCAAAGAGTTCATCTAATAACAGTTAAATCCCATTGGCTATGTCAACACTGGCCCCAAATTCCGGAAAAGGGATGCAAAGCAGGTAAGTCAGAATAGGGAAATCCGCGGGGGATTTAAATATCCCCCGCGGATTTAAATAAACATGTCCGCCGCTTTTTTCCCGGCTCGGGGAAAAGCCGGAAAAAAGCGTCTAGACTGGAACGATCCTCCGGAATAAAGTAGGAATAAGAGATCCTCCGGAAAAGGGCTTTATTCCGGAGGATCGCACCAGTCTAGATGCTTTTTTCCGGCTTTTCCCTGAGCCGGAAAAAAAGCGGCGGACATGTTTATTTAAATCCGCGGGGGATATTTAAATCCCCCGCGGATTTCCCTATTCTGACTTAACTGCTTTGCATCCCTTTTCCGGAATTTGGGGCCAGTGTAGACGTAGCCATAAAGCCTATCTTATTCTCTTTGGAGGCACTGCAGTGCACAACTGAGATTGCTCTTCTGGACACCATTTCTGAAAATTTGATTAAGTTTTCCTGAAGCAATAACATCAACTCACAAGTTTTTATACCAGCTTTGTGATATGCTTATTTAAAGCTTGAGCAGACAGATCAATCAGATCAAACCTTTTTCTGGTAATGATTTCAACACAGCAGAACATAGCCTTATAAATATACACTAATGCTGCTTCTTTGCATTCACAACTTACTGAGTTAACTGGAGTGTGTGTGGGTGTAAAATTTCAGAATTTGACAATTTTTAAAAATAAAAAAAACCTCAACAACCTAGAAAGATAGGTTTGATAATAGCTTTTTAATTATTGTTACAATGAACTGGATATCATCTTTGATTTCTTGACGGTCACTATCAATAAACAGAAAGAGGATATGAGAATGTCATGCTTTTGTGACATTACCAATATACACAAAAGAGAGGCAGTATAGGCTCAGGGTATTAACATGTTAATAAAAAAAACCTCAACAACCTAGAAAGATAGGTTTGATAATAGCTTTTTAATTATTGTTACAATGAACTGGATATCATCTTTGATTTCTTGACGGTCACTATCAATAAACAGAAAGAGGATATGAGAATGTCATGCTTTTGTGACATTACCAATATACACAAAAGAGAGGCAGTATAGGCTCAGGGTATTAACATGTTAGTGG